TTTTTGGTTTGACTCTTATAATGTTAAAGAATCATTTTGAAACGAAATCATGTTATTATCACCATTTTCCAGTTTTTCTCTCTCTCTTTCTCTCTCATTTATGACTCATAATAATTTCAACTTATGTTCTTGAAAAACTAAAAATTACTCATTCGATTTTTTATTATTGGAAAATGCAAAAACAACAACAACAACAACAACCACAACAACTTTAATGCTTTATGAATTGTTTTTCTTCTTTTCAGACTAAATTATTTAATAAAAAAATTAATAATAATAATTTTTTTTTTTTTTTTAGGAAAATCAAACGTTTTTTAATCACATATCATTCTCGAATGAAAGAATAAAGTGAAAATTGAAAAATTATTATTCGATCTCAAAATTAGAATAAGAAATTGTTTTGTTTTTGTTTTTTTTGAAAATGAAGAGCATAAATTTAACATTAATTTTACTATTGTGCATATTGCAATGTCGTCCTACTTATTCTCAAATATTTTTCAAACCGACAACAATATTATCGAGTTCATTAAGATTCCGAGGAATATTAAAAAATATAGGTTTGAGAGGAGCCATATTTGCAGATTTAACGGATATATGGAATTTTGTATCGGATAAATTTAATTTGGGTTTGGAATTGAATCAAAGGAGACAAGCTCACAACGAAATCATTCAAAAATTAGTAAACGTAAGTTATTTTTCAATTTAAAATTTATCTCTCGCAAAAAAACTTTTTCCCCCTTTTTTTTAATAATGATAAACCCCCCCCCAAACCAAAACCAAAACCAAAAAAAAAAAATGTTTATCTTACCATTAATACAAAATTTTATTCTTGAAAGATCGATTCGAAAATTTCAGCACTCGAAGAAACCATTCAAGTCGTAGAACAAAAAACAATTTCCGCCATTTTTAAAACTTTTCCCAAAATCGTCAAGTTAGAAATTCAGTTAAATGAACTTTCGAAAATTCTCAATCACGTGAGTATAAATATTTTTTTAAAAATTAATATAAAAGGACTCATCGAATTATAAATAAATATGCGGGTACGATTATTTTCAGATAAATTTTTCGAGTGATAAATTACGAGAATACCTTTCGTACGGTTTGAAAAATTCCTCGGGTATCAATCGAAACAAATCGATATATATCGATGAGGAATCGATCGAACCGAAATTTATAAACGTTTCTTTCACAAATGAGTCGGAAATGAATAATCTCGAAGATGAATGGATAATTGAAAGACACACGCTTATAAGTTTTGCTCACGTGACAACAGGATTTCACGAGAATTCCATTCAAATTTTATTATCACGATTGGAACATTTAATTTTACCAAATCCTCCTACGAGACATGGATTATTTCATCAGATTAACGATCTTTCCAAGGTATGTTTAATTCCTGTTTTACCGGGCACACGCGCACACACGCACACACAAACTATTATCATCACTCGATTTTGTTTAAAGCCCTGCTTTAAGGGGGTCGTAAAATCTCACACAAAAAGAAAAGTAAAAACTCCCGAATCTTTATCCCGTTTTGAATATTTAAAAAAAAAAAAAAAAATTTATTTATTTTTAAACGCGTTACTAGGATTCGATTAACCGGAAATGACGTGATTTTAGGTTTATTACTACCTGATTTTTAGTTATTTTTATGTTTAGTTTATCGAAGTGAATAAATTCGCGTAGGAAACACACAAACACAATCAGTCATATACAAAAAAAAAAAAAAAATTGGTTTTGTTTTACTCGTAAATTTATGATAAACTTTGATAAGATGACAGTTAAGGGTGTATGGGGGGGGGTATCAGTTTTACTACGTCACGAAACAATTTAAATTTTTTTTTTTTTTTTTTTTTGGGGTTGTTGGTTTCGTACCTTGTTGGTTTTTACGAAAAAAAAAAAAAAATTAGAAACTAAAAAATTTCCAAGTAGAAAAATATTTTCTCGGAATATTTTTGGTGGGAAATTTTTTTTTTTTTTAAATTAACTACGTTAATCACCACCCTACATTCATTTCCTTCTAATTTTATTTTTATCTTTTAAATTATTATTATTATTATTAGATTGCTTTGTTGTCGTTGTTGTTGTTGTTTTTGTTTGTTTCAAAAATTTTTAAATGGTTTCCACTCTTTTTTTTTTTTTTTTTTTTTTCAATTTTGACATTATCGTAATGTTTTTTTTGTTTGTTTGTCGAAAAATGAATCAGTATATAACAAAAAAAAAAAACAAAACGAAATTATAGTCACCTTCACTGGCTATCTACAACAATGTTTTCGGTTAGTTGAATTTCCTCTTTCTCTTTCCCTCTCACCGTATTCACTCTTCTCTCTCGCTCTCTCTCTCTCACACACACATACGGTCACATTACCATCCAATCATTTTCATCATTGGCATTATTCATATTTGATAATAATCAACTGTAACTCTTATAATTACCTTATGCAAAATGTAATCAACTTGCGATCCGTGTTATTTTTTTTTTGTCTTACTTTAAAATGAATAGTTTTGTAGTCGTCGGATATACGATGGTAGTTGGTCGTTATTAGTTACGTTGGTCAAGTGATAGAGTCATTTTGTGTCTTTTTTTAATTATACATTCGTGATTTTTTTTTTTTTATTATTTACTTACGCCGCGTACGCGTTGCCAACTTTGGAAAAAAAAAAAAAAATTTTTTTTATTATATATTAAAAAATTGATTTTTTTTTTATTCTCATAGAGTCGATAATAATGGCGACGATGTGTGACCTAGAAAAGAATAAATAAATTTTTTTTTTTTTGTGAGTCAATTAATTAATTAGTATAAGTGAAATTTACAAAAGATTTATTGTGATTTACGTTTATTATTGTTCGTACTTAAAAAAAATTTAAATTATATGCGCAGTAAATTCAAAATATAATAATAATAATAATAAAATAAATTAAAAAGGTCGAAAAAGGAAAAAAAGGTGTATTTAATTGTAAATTAAAATCGAAATAATTTTATTACGTGTTAATTTCCGTCGGTTGTGTTTGTTTTTTTTTGTGTATAACGCAACTACGAATAATTAAAATATTTAATTATAATTAGGTAAAAGGAATTATTACATAAACATAGTGATTTTAATTTAATTAAAAAGTTACCAAAGATCAGGTAAAACGAGGGAAAAAAAAAAAAAAAATGAAAGGATCATTTATTATTTTGTCGGCCTTTTTCGTGTCGTCGTTAGCTTTGGGTAAAACGAATACGAGACAACCTTCCCTATCAGTGTTAAACGTATTAAGGACGGAATGTTTAAACGCTTTTAATAACCTTTGGAAAGATGTCGGCGGCGGCGGCGGTGGCGGGGGTGGACAACATAAACTCTCCGACATGGATTTGTTGAGTGTTTTTAAAAAGCTTCATGTGAAAATCACCGAAGGAGAAAAATCCATAATTCCTTCAAACAATTATCTAGTCACGTCAGATTGGACGTATGCGACAGTGGAAGGAGAAATAATAAATATAAATACTTATTATGAAACGTTTGTCAGATTTCAAAGGGATCATTCGACGAGGGATGATTTTCGTAAACCACCCTTGGCTTGGTCAGATTTAGCTCGTACATATTTACAAAAATCTGATTTTGGAGTTATTAAAAGTTTAGAAAAATTAAATTATTATTCGGCTTCGAAAATCGAATCGGAAAACATTTTTTATAAAGTTTACAAGGTAAAAGAAAAAACAAATTTTTTTTTTTTTTTTTGTTATTCGTTTTCGTAATCGAACGAACGAACGAACGAACGAAACTCACCACCACCGCCTTCTTGTATAAATTTCCTATTCGCGTTTTGTTTAACGTTTTTTTTTTTTTGAGTTCTGGAACGTTATTCAAAATGTGTGTGTGTTGTTGAATTTTTGAAAAGAAACAAAATTTTAATTTGAAATTTATTATAAAATTTTCATCAAGTTTTTAACGAATGATTTTATCGTAGAATAATTTTAATAATGATTAAAACTTTGAGTTCGTTTTTAGTTTTTTACTTATAATGATAATTAAAATAAATATACGACGACTTCTCATTATAACTCAGTATAAAAAATAATAATAATAATATCGTAAATTTGGGATTCTTTGTAAAGGAAAAAAATCTTTTTATTTAATTATTGGAAACTTGTTTTTTTTTTAATATGTAGGAGTTCGAATTCCGGATTTATTTTTCAGAAATCAAAAAAAAAAAAAGAGAGAGAGAGAGAGAGAGAGAGAGAGAGAGAGAGAGAGAGAGAGAGAGAGATAATAACGGGTAAAGCCTATTTTGAGTAACCAGAAAGAGATAAGATATTAATACATCTGTTTTTCTTTTCATTTTTTTTTTTTTTTCTAAAAAATGAAAAATTGTAAAATAAGCCAATCTTGTTTAAGCTTATTTTAACGGTTGAACGTTTTTTTTTATTTTATCTTTTAGAAAAATTATTTCCTAAAAAAAAAAAGAAAGATTTATTACTTACCCAAATTATTATTATTATTATTATTATTATTATTATTATTATTATTATTATTATTGTTTTTCAATGTTGTTTGAAGCTAAGAAAATTTTGCACAACACAACGTACCTTTAGACTTTTCACGATGATCCTATTTTAAATCAAATTTGTTAATTAATGTTTTAAAAAAATAATCACAAATTCATTTTTTATTTGTTTGTTAATGAATAATAATTCAAATTGATTTATTAACGATGTGATTATTATTATTATTATTATTATTATTATTTACAAGCAAGATAAAAGACGGTAATTAATTTTTTTGTGAGGATGATAAAAATTTTCCAATCTTAAATACGTTAATGAAAATTTCAGGGAAATAAAAAATGATTCCCCCAAAATAATCTCCATGAAAATAATAATAATAATAATAATAATAGATTTTTTTTGTTGTATTGATTAATTTAAATGTGGATTGTGAACTTTGATAATAATTACAAGAGAGGGGGAGGGAAAACTGTTGTAGTAGTAATTAGGATGAATTGATTTTTTTTGTTTTTTTTTTTTTTTTGTAGGAAACTGAATTCAATATTTGTGATTTGAAACAATCTCCTCATCAAGTTTTATACAATCTTTATAATACGATATCATTGGCAGAATTAAAAGCCAACATCGTTTTACAATTTTCTTATTTGTTATTGAAATTGTATGAAAAAGGTAAGTGGTGGATTTTGTTCTTTTTTTTTTTAATGTATTTCCTCCATCTTTCGTTTTATTTTAATAATCGTTTCGTCTATTGTTTTTTTTTTCTTAGGTAATTTTACACTTGAAGCTCAATTAGCCCTGTCAAAATACGAAGAAAGGTACAAGCAGAAAAATGATGTCATAAGAGATGTTTTGATGAACGCTGACAGGTCTTTGTACAAATGCGATCCGAAGCAACACGTCGAAGGAGTCACGTATGTTAAATTGACCAAATTGCTCCAGGGTTACATAGAAAACGAAGTCAATTTAAACGGTGGCGGTTCCTGCAGCGAAAATTGCGGTTATTACGAATATACCGAGTATAACGGTTGTTATCATAATCAATTTTGCTCTCATCAACCTCCCTGCCGTGGAAAAGTATTAAATTGTAAATTTGTCGATTCGGATATGACGATTTGCCGTTCATCGGTAAGAATAAAAAATTAATTTTATTTTGCTACGATTGAAAATAAATTTTCCTCGTTTCCTTTATTATTATTATTATTATTATTATCATTACAGAATTCTGAAAGGCGTTACGATTGGATAGAATACGAAAATGGTAATAATTTAGGGAATCCGGGTGTTTGCGAAAATAGAAATCTATTTAAAGTTGATTCATGGTGGAGATATTTATTTTGGCATTGTTCTTATTGTTTGTGTTTGTGCGATGATCCCGAAGATAGTGATAGATATTTTAATTTAAGAGACGTTACTTCAGATGTTGAAAAGAATAAGTAAGTCAAAAATCCCTTTTTTTTTTTCTTTTATTTAAAAAGATGTATGTACGTAGGCATAAATGAAACATGAATGTTTGCTTTCAGAGTCGTAACCGGAATCAGATTGGTGAAACACAATCGTATTATTCACATTCAAATACAACAGGGATCTCTAAATCCCAGAGGTATAATCAACAATGGCACACTGTCTTGGAAACCTGTTGATAATTACACTATTGATGATTTAAATGTTGAAAACAATGTCGATTATCACACAATGACTTGGGCTGAAAGAACGATCGACATGGACGACGTATTTGGACCTTCTGAACATGCCGTTACGGGTGAATAACTTTTCTTTTAAGATAACTAACTTTTTTAAATATGCATTGACGTTATTGTCACGTGACAAAATTAAATATTTATTATCTGACTGTATTGGGGAAAAAAAGAGAGAGAAAAAAAATTACGAATATACGAATCGATGACACGAAATTCAATATTTGAATTTAAATAAATAAATAACTTAAATTTTTTTTTCTTTAATTTTTTATTTCACAGGCGTAAGATTTCGGAAATTGGGTTCACATTTAAATTTAGAAATCAGAGTTACGCCGTTTAATTTTACAACCGGTCAAGTATCAAGCACGGATAAAAGTTATTGGCTGGCAAACGATAACACGGATGGAAATTTAAAAAATCCGAGAACGGAAATACGATTAAATAATCCGGATATACCAATAAGAAAAGGTCCTCACACGTTGGATTCGAAACACGATCAATATTTACAATTTAAAAATTCGGATTTTAATACGGATGCCGGTCAAAATACGATACCCTATATAGATTCACAAGCGTTGACTTCACACGGTTTTCCATTGTCTGGATTGGGTTTGATACACAGGGGAAGGAAAAATTCTGGAGGTTTTATAGCACCTAAATTAGTAACCTACGATTTTACTCCACACATAGCCGTCAATTAATTAAAAAAAAAAATTAAAATACTAAAGCAATCACATTTGACTTTTTTTTTTTTTAATAATAATAATAATACTTTTTATGTATTTTATTTAAATAAATTAAATTTTACCAAAAAAAAAAAAAAAAAAAAAAACTAAAATAAAATGTATAAAAAATGTTTTATATATATAATTTGTCATATTATCGTTCGCGTCACCTTAGGCTCTAGTACGTGTATTTTTTTTTTTTTTTTAAATTTCGTCACGTAGATTATTCGACTTTGATTTATTATATATATATATATATATATATATATATATATATATATATATATATATATATATATATATATATTAAAAAAAAATACAAAATTTTTGATAATTTTTGTAATTATTTTAGTTTTTATGCGTAGAGATTTAAATATTTAAAAAAATAAATAAAAATTCAAAAATTTAAATAAAGTCAATCGCGTTAAATAGAAAAAAAAATTTTTTTTTTATTATTATTATTTGTATTTATTAAAAATAATTATTTATTTTTTTTTTTTATAAATAATTTTTGTAAAATATTTATTATCGAACAAAAATTTAAAAAAAAAAAAAAAAACAATAATTTTTTATCAACATGTATGTGTTAAAGTTTTAAATGACGTCATTTTAATTTTTTTTTTAATAATTTAAATTGAATTAATTTTAAATTGATTACGTCATATTATTAAATTAATTTTATTTGATAAAAAAAAAAAAAATTTT